ATCTATCTAAAATTCAAAATCTACAATCAACTGACTACAAAACCGTTACCTCGTAATAAAATGTAATTTGTATCACTCACTACCCGATGCGCAGCAGCGGAGTTGACTGCATCGAAGCTACGTTGATCTGTAACATGCAAATAGAATATAAATTGTAGCAGCATCTAAAATAAGTAATATTTCAAAAAATTATTGTTATACACATTGAATTTTATTTTTCATGCGTACAATAATAAATAAAAACATAATTATATAATTTTTTAAATTTTGAATTAATACAATTAACAAATTTTGATTTAATACAACTAATAAATTTTGTTTTAATATACAACTACAATTTAATTAATAAATTAAATTAAATGAATTCTTACCCCAAGGTTGCTCCACCGGCGCCCGATACCTTTTCCAGACCTCCTCCTCCTCTCAGGTTATCAGAGTCGACAATTCTACATTGATCTGTAACATATAGATAAAATCAAAATTGTAGCAGCGTCTAAAATAATTATTCCCAAAAAATAAATATTACATTTGATTTATGATACGTACAACAAACAGCAGATATATAATTATATAATTTTTAAAATTTTATTTTGTACAACTAATATATTAATAAACAGATAATGAATACTTACTCCAAAGTTGATCCTTCGGCGCTCGATGCCTCTCCTAGATTTCCTTCTTCCCTCAGGTTGTCAGGATCGACAGAGAGCTCTACGTTGTCTGTAAAATTTAAATAAAATCCACATTGTCGCAGCGCCTAAAACAATTAATATTTTTAAAAATGATTTTTGTGTACATTGAATTTTATATTTGATGCGTACAATCTTAAGCAAAAATAAAAAATCATATATTCGAGCTATAAAAATATTTTTTACCAAATAAATAACACCAAACTGGTCAATAATGCATAAATAAAAATAATGTCCAGTTTATAAATTATTTCTATATATGCATTTTTGTATGCACATTGACGGATAGTCTCATATATTCCAGAATTAATAGCTTACTTTATTCTAATCTGTCCATTTTAATAAATAGGAAGAATGGATTTATATGATATATAAAATATCTATGTGAGGTATATGATCCATAATGTTTTTATTCTTAATTTAAACTCTTTTATTATTATCACATGATTTTTATTGTTTTTTAATATGTTTTTAAGATAAATAATGTAACTTCTAATAGGTATGAAGTAATTTACAGAAACATATAATAAATAAGAATTTATTATTGCATTTATTATTATTGCAAATTTAAATGCAAATTTTTATATATTAATATGTATCAGAAAAATATTATGAATTGTTTGGTTCGATTTTAATATTTGTCATTTGGTAGATACATTATACATATATATTTGATAATTTTATACATATATATTTGATAATTTTCCCAAATCCATTATCTCATAATTAAAATAAAAAACAATTTACTCACCGATGCGAAACGCAGTGACAGACTTACACAGCGTAGTACACAGTGTTGATCTGTAAGATACACAAATATGTATATTAAATCTAATTAAAGCAAATGTCCAAAGTATATTTAACATCTCGAAAAATAATAGTTTCGCGCATGGAAATTTTCTTTTATTAGATTTTTTACAAATAATAATAAATTATTCACCTTATGGTTATTTCGTACTACGATGACGATAGCGCCGGGTCTCCTTCTTCTTCTCTCTCATTTCACTTTGTCGCTCCTCCCTGATGCTCACTAGCAAAAGCAATGAATTACAATTAAACATGCACTCGCAAAACAATAAATTACGATTACGCGCGCCCTAATCACATCCAAATACAGTTAATAAACGCGCAGCACTTTGCACGGCACTTCCGACTTTAATGGCAGGCGACGTGCGCTTGATTATAACGGGAAGGAAAGCGCGCCAAGTTCACGGTATTGCACGGTCGCTCGCGATGTTTTTAAAGAGTAACCTTGCATTCGTGCGAGCAACAGAGATTTTAACAAATCATCGATAATCATACAAACGCTATATTAATACGCTACGCGATCGAAAATTATTAAAATGTGATTTTAATACATGACAATTATTGTAAATATATATATATATATATATATATATATATATATATATATCTCATGAGACAATGATTTACAATAAATTCTTATCGCTATTCATCCTACACCTACTTAAGTAAATGCAGCGCACAAAACACTTTCTTAGATAAACAACCGTTGTCCCGATATATTTAATCGCTTAATCAGATTAAATAATTGCGCGAATTAATACTCACTAATCAATACATACTTGTACACCATGATCGTATTCGACAAGGTATATTTCGCGATCGCGTCTCGAAAATTAATACGACGCCGTGCCGTTAATATAATAAGTTATTCTGCTGTATAATAAAAGCAAGTTTCGATAAGGATAAGGGCTAGACATAATGTCAATTCGATTATAAATGTATGTACGAGAATAGACTCGTCTCTAATGTACAAATACTCGGAAGACGGAGATAAAATAAAAGTATATCCATAATGGCCGATTATCTCCGATCCGCAAAAGACTCTTGACTTTTTTTTCTTATAATTTCCGTCTGATATGCCATAAAACTATTAAATATTCTCACAGTCTATTCAAAAAAACAATTCTATTGCATATTATCGTATCGATTTGGCTCGATTAACTCTTTGTCGGTTTACCTGTGCGGATATTATATCGAAGCTCGCAATTTTTACGTCTGTACGAAGCGCCGTTCCCGCGTGAAGAGAGGGAGAAGCCGAACGTAACATCTTGAAATCAGCGACGGTATTCCTTGTCCTGATTGGTCAAGCTTTACAGTAGTAATTCGCGAACATACCGATATTGGCTGCGGTCGGAAAGACACTAGAAATGCTTCAAAGCATTGCATTAACCAATCAGAATAAAAAAATCTTTATTCTTTGTGTCCTGATTGGTCAATCAAACGCTTCGAAGCATTTCTAGCGTTTTCTCGACCGCAGCCACTATCTAATGGCATCGAAATTTTTAAAATCAGCCAATCAATTCGAAGGAATCGCACGAAATCTACCGAAAATCACCGAGCAGTTCTCGAACATTTGGCGCGGGAATTCAAAATTGTTTAAAGTCATTATGCAAATGATGTGATACGAAGTATCCAAGATTAATATTTTTCTTTCAAAATCGCATGGAAATAGGCTTAATACAATTATATACGTTCAAGCGAGAGCTCCGACTGTTTTTATTGAATTTTACATTTTTGTATATTCAAGAATTTGTAAGACAAATGTCAAACAAGGTGATATATAATTGAGCAAATAATTTTATTCTTCGTGTATTTTACGTTAATTCTATACTTATAATTTTTATGCCTTTGGCAAAGAACATTGCATTTACGGTCATATATTTTGCCTCCAAATTAATGAGTATTTCACACATATATATCTATTTAACAAAAAAATAGCCATGCAATCCTAATCAAAAAATTTGTTTATACGGTTCTCTAATCTCAAAAATCTTCTGATATAAACATATTCAATATTTAAGGAGATTTAATAAGAAATGTTGCAGAAAACAATTCTGAGATCAAAATGCATCGCACGATTGGTGCAGCTTTGCTCTCTAATAGTGAAACTGTTAGTCGATCTGGAAGAAAAACCCAACAAGATGCAAACTTGACAGATACATTCATATAATGGATTGGAGGATAAGTCTGTCTAATGTCAGAAATCCAGTGATTATGCAGCCAACAGATGTTTTGATAAAGGTTGAAGCTTCTAGTGTGAAACCCATTGATGTTGCAATGACAAGGTACTCTATTTCTGATTGTATATGTATTCTTCGTTCTGAGAGTGATATGTGAAATTTTAAATCAGCACACACATATATAAAATTATAATATAAAATATTACATTACTTTTTTAGTCGAATGTTTATAAATAAATATAACAAATGTATATTATAATGTATATTATATAACATAAAAGCTATATAAAATTGATCAAAAATTAATATAATCTCTTTTAATAAAGTTTCCAATATATTTTTAATTCACATTGTTTTTGTAATAAAAGGCTTATTTAATTCTATATAACTAAAAGTTGTCTTTTAAAGAACTAAATATTATAAAATAAAACCATATATATTTTATTATAGATGATGATTATGACACAACTCTTCTAAATTTGATGCACAAAGGCAGAATTTGACTGGTGGAACATACAATGGATTAGACTTGCTATTGACATTAAGCAGAGATTTTGCAGGCATACTTGATTATATCAAAGATGTGATGTGGCTTGAGTTAGGCAAGGAAGTTTGGGAAATAGTTCCAATGAAACAACAGGGCTGTCATGCAAATTATTGTAATTAACAATAATTTAGTAAGACATTCTATTTTCTAAGTATTATAAATATTATAAATATTTGGCAAAAAACCTGCAATTACATGTTAAATAATATATTTCTTTTTTTTCAAGGTAAGTACACACCCTTGGAATTTATCTCCTACAGAAATTGCAAGTATTTTATTTGCTGGATTGATTGTATGGTCCGCACCAGGAGGACTATCTTATAAAATGGTGATAGTCAGAAGATTAAATAAACACGTTCTGGTTATGGAAGGTTCAGATAGAATTGGAACCTTAGCTATACCAGCTTAGGAACCAAACTTTTAGTAGTTGTATAGTTGTTTTATATATATATATATTATATTTGCAATCAGATGACAATCTTAGATTGCACCCATCGAGGACCAGAGCATCAGAATGAAAGAATATCCGCACAGTACTTATATAGCATTAAATTCGCCACTATAAAATATACAATTCTAAATTTGATGCACAAAGAATTTAACTGGAACATACAATGGATTAGACTTGCCATTGACATTAGGCAGAGGTTTTGCAGGAGTGATTGTATCAAAGAGACATGATGTAGGAGATAGACTTAAATTAGGCGAGGAAGTTTTGGGAATAGTTCCAATAGAATAACAGGGCTATCATGCAAATTATGTTGTGATTAACAGTAACTTAGTAAGACATTTTATTTTTTAAATATTATAAATATCTAGCAAAAGGTACAAGTTTATTCGCCATTTTTCAATTTTGAATCAAATTTGTATTAGTTATCGCTTGTATTTATAATTTGTTAAACAATATAGTATAACGAGTTCGAAATAACGTAATTATAAAAAGAGAAGGAAACAAAGAAAAGAATTTATTTGATAAAAATATAATTCGAATCGTTTCGAATGTCTGACGTAAAAAGGAGCTTGGTAAATTTCGGAGGTCTATTATCGCCGGGTGTGCAAGAATTATCGTCGACTTTGCGCTGATTCCTTAGATTGGCGGATCGCATAGACATATCTGTCGCATCAGACAAATTCAAGTTAGAAAATTTCAAACGATTCAACGATCCTGAGGAATATCTGTAAACAACAATGAGAATAAGAAAACATTAGGAAAGAATCACGATATTATTTAGATAACTTTTGTTTGCATACATACAATAGTAACGATTATACATATATATATATAACGATTCGGTTCTGTTTTAAAATATATGATAGTAGCGAAAGTGCATTAAACAATGTCAATCGATCGATATACACTTTTATATATTACCGTGTGTTTAATGAATACGTAGAAATCGGATCGGAGTTCGTCAGCGTCTTCGTCGTATTGGATATAGATTTCGGAGTGCTCTGTATCATTTGCTGCAGCTCCTTATTAACTTTTTCTTTCTCAGCCTTTAGATCTGTATATTTTTCTAACAATATTTTCATATTGCGTCGCACGAGAAGATAATGTTTTTTCAACATCTCGTATTTGTTGTCCTTCAAATGCATCATTGCATAAATGTATCATTGTCAAAATTTAAAGATATATACAAAAGAATATAAGGACTATAAATATCAAAAATATAAAAATATGTAAGAGATATAAGAAATATCGTTTATGTACAAGATTGTGAAAACGTTCCATTGTTATCTTCAACTGATTGCTTTCGAATATCTCCTTGTTTAATAATATTTCCAAAACCTCAGAGAAAGACGTAAAGAGCGAGATCCTTTTAGGCATCAGTGGCTCTTCTAACAGTAAATATGCAGGATCAGTATATTTGCATTGAAAACATTGTTTTTTCACTGTAACAGGAAATATACAATAGTAGAAAATTAATCATCTTCCTCGCCTTTTCTTTAAGAAACTTTCTTCCATTATTAATTACCTTGTTGTAGACAATCCTGACAAAAAATATGACCACATTGTGTAATATTATAAGGCAGTTTTCCTCTGTATATCGGGATGAAACACTTATTACAAATTAACGTATCCATGTATGAATATTGCTGAAAAAAAATTTATAAATCTTGTAATTTGTGACTCTAAAGGTGGGTATACACTTAGCGAACGAATACTGAACGAACAGCGAATGCGAACTGTTATCATTCAGCAGATATATACGCCAAAGCGAATGCGAACAAAATGTTCGATTCGCATTCGGCTCGATTCCCTCATGAGGCGGTACATCAAAGACAATTCGTGCGAGAAAGACTTTCAAGACGTTCGCATTCGCGGTTCGTTCGGCGTTCATTCGTAGATGTATACCCACCTTTATATAATATTTTTTATCATCGTTTTTTCAAGAAATTTTCTTTCTTACATACAAAGCGTGTCCGCGTATAAAGACTATGGGTCTGTTCTTTATAGCTGAACTGGCTGCACTAGTTCAGAGTTTATCTTTTTCTCTCCCCATTGGAAGGAGAAAGATAAGCTCTGAACTAGTGCAGCCAGTTCAGCTATAAAGAACAGACCTAAAATCAAATTCACTTTTATCATGAATCTAATTTTCAATCAATCCAACATTATATTCTTTTTCCATATAATGTGAGATAAATCGACATGATTCAAAATTGTTTAAAGATCGGCAAGGCTGTGTTTCGACCTTAGAACATATATAAATGGAAGGGGAATGCCTTTGTTTCCCGATAGAAAAACATGTCGGAAGGAAGTAAGAAAGAAAATCATAGTTGCCTCTCTCTTGTGAGTTACTCTGCTCAAAAGTGCGCATGCGCGGCCATGTGTGTTACACAAAAGTATGTATACTTGAGACACGATGCTTATATGTGTAGTTACTCCCAAGAGAGAAGCAATTACGATTTCTTTCTCACTTCCTTCCGACACTTTTCAGCCTGCTATTCCATATAAATGGAAGGGGAATGCCTTTGTTTCCCGATAGAAAAACATGTCGGAAGGAAGTAAGAAAGAAAATCATAGTTGCCTCTCTCTTGTGAGTTACTCTGCTCAAAAGTGCGCATGCGCGGCCATGTGTGTGTACACAAAAGTATGTATACTACAGACACGATGCTTGTATGTGTAGTTACTCACAAGAGAGAGAGACAAATACGATTTCTTTCTCACTTCCTTCCGACACTTTTCAGCCTGCTTCCATTTATATATGTTCTAAGGTTTCGACTTCCGACTCCCTACCCGGGTGCACCCGATATTATAGTATATAGGTTTGTTCGCGTTGCTTGAACTTTTTGCGCTCAGTATCTTCGCTTTCACTCTCTTCAACATCCGAATATATATTTATCTCGTTTTCAGTGCAGAACTTTTTGGGAATTTCAAGCAACGCGAACAAACCTTGGAGTTGATTGTTATCTTCAAACGATGTGAAAATTACAAAAGTGAATAAATTCACTAGAGTATCTACAATGTCATTTGTCGAAATCTAATAAATCTGTTCACTTTTGTAATTTTCACCTCGTTTCAAGAATCGTATATTTGTTACATTAAAATGATAAGTTTTGCAATTTGTCGGTATTTGACTTGTTAAAAAAAACATTGCATAACATAATAACAATTTGATTTGTCATTGTATCTTGTTTATCCGAAATATATATATATATATATATATATATATATATATATATATATATATATATATATATATATATATATATATATATATATATATATATATATATATATATATATATATATATATATATATATATATATATATATATATATATATATATATATATATATATATATATATATATATATATATATATATATATATATATATATATATATATATATATATATATATATATATATATATATATATATATATATATATACTTCCGACTCCCTACCCGGGTGCACCCGATATTATAGTATATAGGTTTGTTCGCGTTGCTTGAACTTTTTGCGCTCAGTATCTTCGCTTTCACTCTCTTCAACATCCGAATATATATTTATCTCGTTTTCAGTGCAGAACTTTTTGGGAATTTCAAGCAACGCGAACAAACCTTGGAGTTGATTGTTATCTTCAAACGATGTGAAAATTACAAAAGTAAATAAATTCACTAGAGTATCTACAATGCCATTTGTCGAAATCTAATAAATCTGTTCACTTTTGTAATTTTCACCTCGTTTCAAGAATCGTAATAGGCCCCCTTGACAACATATGTCAAAGTCATTGAAATCGGTGAGGTCGGCGCTAATATGAAGGTTTACCAAAAGAACTAAAATACTTTTAATTTCTAAGATAAATAATTATATGATATACCTATATATGAACTAGAACGATTAATGAAATTAATTTAATTAATTAATAGCAATTAATGAAATTAATTAATACCTGAAATAAAAGCAAATGGATTAAATAATTGTTCTTCGAGAAATGGCGGGACGTTACACTACATAAATAACGCTAGGTATAAAAGTCCTCAAAAAATTTCCTATCCTCCGGTAGCCAATCGGCATGCTCCAACAAGCTGGACAGCTTAGCCTTGAGAAAATATCGCTGAGTCGCGCGACTAGATATCATGATATTACATAGTCGAACGCTGCTGTCTCGATTCTCGGCAAAGAGTTCACGATTCACGACTCACGACACATAAAGCGTTGATTGTTTCGCGCGACAATAATCGGGCGTACGTGTATATATACGTACGAAGGTGCTTACTGGCAGACATTGCATTCTAAGGATTGTCACCTACGAAAGGTCATCGCGTAATCGTGAATATGCAATATCCGCGCGAATGAGCGGATCCTTAGGTGAAGAATAATGTTCGTGCGGCTATGCATGTATATAGCCGTGCACACATGCGTGCATACACATCCGTAACAATACACATTATATATATA